CCTCGAAGTCACGTGGGTGAACACTTTTGGATAATCTCTTTTTGTGGGATCTATATACTTGCTTAATGTGGTTGACCGTGTTCTCTGGAGTCAACAGTTTGCTTGCAATATATTTCAGAATACGCCACATGATCTCCTAATCAACTGGTGTACTTTGACGCTGAACTTACTTTCCAAAGGAAAACACAGACTTTGCTTCAAAGAACCAGGGTTCTGATCCACTCATCTGCTGAATTAAAGGTGTACAATTGCCAGGCCGCCCCTGGCTGAATTAGCCTAAATGAAGGCTTCGCGTCCTGTTTCCCATGTCACACGTGTTGCATTTGTTGCGCACTATGCCTATGCTAGGTATGTATCCCAAACAGCTGATCGAGCCATTTCCCGTACGCAGCACCCGGCATCCCTCACACCAAGCAGTGAAGGCATCACAGCCGAGAGAAATGAAGGCGACAGAGGTAGCTACAACAAAATGTATCAACACCCAATAACCTCGACTCAACACCTATTGGGGTCCCAGCAAATACCCAAACATGCCCAAACAACATATTTCCTGGTCTGTGCACAACCCCGCAAAAAAAGGGGAAGGATGGGCCCGCGATGCTTAAGTGGAATTGCTCGTGTTTTGAGTAGCTGATGACCAGAAACACCAGAAGTCTATTGCACGGAAGTTATCGTAAGTTGCGGAATTGCATTGTGGGATTTACACAACCCACCTAAGTTTCAATTAGGTAGTGTTGCTAAGTCCCTAAGTCTAACTTAGAGGGGTGTCTGGGAATTTGCTCAACATGTTTCACTTTGGATGCAGCGGTTTTCAGCAGTTGATCTAAAGGCTGATGCCATTGTTCACCACTGTCTTTGCGCTTTCACACAGCAAGCTTGAGCCTCAGAAAGCTATGCACTTGGCTGACAAAAAAAAAGGTAGTCGATAAAATACAAAGCAATGGTTGATGATTTCATAGCACTGGGGAGATGTTCATGAGCGTACACACATTGTTCAGAGGTTTGGCTTCCAATGAGGCGATTGAATTTCAATCCAATGTTTGATTGCGTTATTCCACGGACAGATGTTCAAGTTCACTCGATAGACTAATCTTGCAAAGGCTTTGCTGTCAGTGAGGCATTGTTGACTTTCCAGCCGGTCCTTGATTGTTCCATACAGCAATACGTGAGCATGGCAGAGATGAACTTCTCGGCTGCTCAGCTGCAAAGGTCACTCGCAGCTCCTTTTGAGATCAGATCACCAAGAGGTCATGGCAATTACACCGAAGAGGCCAGTTGGTGGCCTGCGTGGATGGCGTGCTGAAGTGTTTGCTGCTTCATGCCACCGGACGCCGGGGTTCATGCCGCGAACCGTGACGCTTGGGCCTCAACAGCAGAGAGGTTCATTCGCTGATACATGATGTGAGTGTCGCTTTTTTTTTTTCACACGAGGAGGTCAGGGGCATGCGCTTTGAAGAGTCACACTCAAATGAGGCTACCCGCAACTTCAACAAGATTGCTGAAGAAAGCGGAGGTAACTTGCCCTGCTTGGATGTTGGGGCGATATGGTATGCGTCTGTTGAACTGTTGTCTCCAGATGTCTCCAGTCAGTCACGCACAAGGGTCAGCAGTTAAGCCTGGACAGGTTGCAGGAGATTGATGCTGAGTACTACATGGCATGTGAGGGCACAAGCTGGCTTGTGGTGTCGAGTGAGGTAGAGAGGAAGTGGCTCCGAACAACACAGCTCACCTGTCGAGGACTGGCAGTGTGTGGTGGCACAGCAAAAGGCTGGCGTGTGGGTTCCCTGTGCTGGGGTGACGTCTCCAAGACCGCGTTGAGGACCACGCCCAGGTTGGGGCAGTCGAGTCGACGTTCTTGTTCCACTTCATTGTGAAGTTCAGCAGTGGAGTCGATGGAGCTTTCTTGGACAACACCCTGAACGACATCAAGGCTTTTGGATTAGTGCAGAGTGATGTGTACCAGGTGCTGGCTTGGGATGTCAAAGGGCAAGAGCAACATGCCATCTATCGACGCTGTAGCCAGGCTGATTTGGTAACATGTTCATGTTGCAGTCTTTTTGTGTAGCAAGGCCTGAAAGGTGACCAAAGCCATACTTCAAGTCATGACAGTTCCCTCACCTGCGGCGCCAGCAGAGAGACCGCAACCAACAAAGGTCGTTCGTGGTGCTGGAGAGAAGACAACTGAGCCCTTTGAAAACATCTATTGTGGACAAATAACATATCATATTGTACATGTTTGATGATGAGGGCAGGCTTTTAACCCAAGCGGTTCAAAAGATGTTTTTCTTTTGGGTCGTCATGCATTTCAGGTTGCAAACCTTGGACTCGAGGGGCAAAACATCGCCAATGGTGTCATGCTGAAAGACGCAGGGTTCAGTGTGGAGATGTTGGTGTAGACGGTCGCAAAGATCGAGGTCATGTCAGACAGACAGTGATCGAGCCCATGTGGGATCAAAGGCAAGTCGGCGAGCCCTGCAAGTCTTTCTTGGTGACTGGAAGCCAAACAAAGACAGAGTGGAGGCAAAGACAGTCGGGCGAGCCCGATCTGGAAGCTTGCGCTTAGTCTTTGGCTGGTACTTTGGTATAGGCTTCGCGCTGAACAGCGGAACCACCCGATACACAACCATGCAAGCTAAAGTAAATTCAATTACTGTATACAGTAACTGTTTATTGGTGCTATTGGTATAATGAATGTTCATTAGTTGCAGATTGTTTTTGCATGGTTCTCACTGGAAGTCGCTGCAGGTGCATCGCAGCCTATTTCTTGGTGTGAAGTTCAACCAGCCTCACAACTTCAACCACCTGGGCCATTGCCCTCCCTGCCCTCCCTGGCCCCCACATTCGCACCTCCCGACACGACACGGAAGCATTTCCTGCAAGATCTGCATCCCAAGAGTGGTTTTGGGCATGGAGGACCACCCACCCGAAGCGATGGGTAACAGCTGTGAGCCAATTCGTGTGCTCCACACGTTCCATGCGCCTTTCGCATCTTGGAGGAACAACGAACACATGACATCCATGGCGTGGATGGTATCATTCATGGCGTGGACTTGGAAGGCGTATTGGCGTATTGATTTGGATCCGAAATGGACCAGCAATCAAAAGGGACTGCCCTGTTTCACGCCCAGGAGTGATGCAAGCTCACTGTTCGCTCGTCAGCTCTGTGACTCAGAAACATCCTGATGTGGTAAGAACATCTTAAACCGTGGTACACTCCCCCCCGGCCCTCAGCCATGATCGAAATGGATGGCCTGGCCCCGAGTTCGGAAGGACCCTCTTCCGAAGACCGCGCAGAGTACTCAACTCCACGTCACCCATGACTCTTCGGACTTAAAGAGCTCGAGAGCCATACTTCAGGGCCTGAAAGGGGCCTGGGTTTTCCCTTTCACACCTCGTTTCAAACAACAACCAGGCGGCACCACTCGCTTCTTGGTCACCTTCAGACCATTCAGACCTTCTTGACCCCATTCACCGGGGCCAGGCCAGGTGTGCCTAAGGCACCCGGCTTCATGAGGTCCGACCCTCACGGTCGCACCAACGGACGGGATGTCCCCAATCAGGTCACTACCCTCCAAAAACAATCGACAGATGGGGCTTTAGGCAAGCAACAAAGATTAACAAAAACCTTGCAAATGACCGATCGGTTCTTTTTCATCCTGTCGACCAATCTTTCTGAATAGACATCCTCCACTATCCTGCACTTTACAAAAAACACACTTCCCTTCTCTTGGTCCTGCCAGGCGCAGGGCATCTTGGCAGGGCATCCGCACGTCTCCTCAGAGGCCGGCTGGGCGGTGCGATCTTGTCGACCAAAAACAAAACGCTGTCACGGAAGAAACACCGGAAAACGACTACACGATTTTTAAACACGTGAAAATGACGGCAGAAACTAAGAGAAGCTAGAAACTTGTTGGGTCCTGTCAGCAAACATACGTCCATGCGCCTGTCTTTCGGTCCCTGGAGTTGAGAACGCCGCGTTGCTTCCCGCCCCGTGTCTGCTTGTTTGTTTTGTGTAGGTTGTCTTGATGTCTTGAGTGTTTCTGGCACATAGTTGACCACGATCGTTTGTGTACCCGATCTTAGATTAAAGGGGTAGATACGATGACAAGAGAGGAATCTCACAACATCTCAAGACCGCAGGCTGATCCCCACACAATATCCCACAATGACATGAGTGTCAATGGCTTTGTACAAGGCTTTGTCCACATCGACCGAACCAGAATGGACACACGCCAGTATTTACGCTTTCAGGTCAAGAGTCCCTCCGAAGCGATGGCATTCTGCAAGAAGCTCTCACCTGGTTTGGCGAGTGGACACCGCAGAATGGATATTGGCACCACAGATCGTTGGTTCCATACTCCATTTATACTGACATATTATATTATTAACATCGAATAGATCTTCCATCATCCTGCGTGTTTATCAATGGAGGTTTTTGGATGTTTCAACCCAGACCCACATCATGCATTATAGTACCAAACCATGGCGTCCCTGTTGAAGGGATCTAGTGGCGTCAAGTGAGCCTCTAGGGAAACAAACAGGTCGTCCCTGGAGAAGGCCCACAACATGATTTTCTGTCAAATGCAACAATGCACTGCCCCATGTTGGAAGGCGAACTGTTAACTCTTGATCCACAGCCTTCGCGTCGGTTGAGGCTGTGTGCAAATGCCCCCCTAACGGTGCAACATCTCCAAATTGAAGCCCGCAACAACACTGGGGTCGTTGTTGTTCTTGGTGTGTTCTTGGTCGTACGTCGTAAGTCTTCAAGTTGAGACTAGTGATGCCGCACAACAGAGTCCTTTGAGGCTGCACAAAGATCATAAGAAGGCAATTGCTAACACTGCAAACAACATCACCAACAGCTATTAGGGCAGCTGAAAGTCTTGGACTGCTGATCGCTTCACATCAAACACCGGATCTGGCCCGATCTCCATCTTTTGCCCCGTTGGAGGCCAAAGGTTCCCCCAACGGGGAACCCCACAGGAAAACGACCGACCGTCCTACATCGCCAACTCTTCGCCGTTCAGCCCACCGTCATCGCAAAGATTGCATTTGCAGCCTCGGGACTGGATGCAGCTTCACTTATAGTTTAAAAAGAGGGATCGTCAGTTCATCTTCAAGTCAAACACCAGCAACTGGTTGCAGTCTACTTTCCCTCCACGAATAGGTTTAGCCCGATCAATCGTTTCATCATGTTATGTTTATATAATCCTACTTGCAATAGGTCTGGTTCTATCTTTAAGGAGAACACCGTTTCGAGCCCACACACAGCAGCAACCAACTCTGACCAAATCCGATGCCTAAAGGCATCTACACTTTGGACGACTGCAACGTAGAGTTTATGTCTGAAAGCACCCGTTTTTTAGTGCCAGCCCAAAGTGGCAAAATGTGGTAAAGGCAATACGGTATTGAAAGCACGATCTGAGAGTTGCCACACAGCCCTTGGAGTTCGTCAGATTTCTCGGCTTTCCAAACATCCTACCCTCCAGTCTCGCTTTCCAAAATTCACAAGTTCAGTGGCCTGGAACCCGTCTTCCCCAGGCATTGAGTTTCATGGAAAGCACGTCAATGACTGTTCAGAACAATCTCGGAGCTCTGCCGGCTTCCCTAATCCGAGGTCGCAACATGTCTCTTCCCACTGTGGATTCCAATGAAACATCAGAGAAATCTACACAGAGAATCACCTGTTTGGTGTGGAGAAACATCCTCCACCAGTATGCCTCGTACGAGAACTTTCAGGGTAGTTCACCATGTTCACCCACAGCAAATAGCAACACTATGGCCAACTATGCCCTTTAAATGCAGGATCTTGTGCAAACCTTCACACCGACGGTATGGACACAGACCTTCCCAGCGTATCTGTGCGGATCTTCCGTCTCCGGGTCCCTGGCAGGTCTCCTTCAGTTCCTCTGCGCCACACCTGGGGACGAGCCGCGAACCGTGCCACGGCAGGGCAGAGTGGTGGTGCTTCGGTTCTTCAAAAGAAGACTCAAGATATATCAAGATATCCTTCTAAGGTCACAAAAAAGGTGATGTGTGACCTTGTTGTACGTACACACTCCAAGGATGCCACTATTTTGCACCTGCATGGCCTATGGTTCTATATACCTCAACCAGGGTTCAGTGAGCAGGGTGGTCATTTGCTGGATTGCAACGAGAAAACTGTGTCGACAAAAACTACCAAGACTCCTTCAAACCCTGCCAACCATCTTCTTAACAGGTGTGTCTTTACCTGGAGTAAAAGCACATGAGCGGTTCTATTTGTTGCCCACAGATTCCCCAGGCTGCACAACCTTCCTTGGGAAAAGAACGCTTTTGAAGGCACACCAAACATCCACACTAAATGAACCACGGGAATGAACACGGTGTTTTGCCGAGACAAACTACCTGAACTCACCCTGTCTTGGGAGCCGAGACGTCCGCCATGGTGAACTCCCTCGCCTTCCGCTGGATGCCGCGAGTGCGGTGCGGGCATCGGCACCTGAAGTGGATGAAGGGCCAGGCGGAAGGAACGCTTCGGAGAACCAAAAGAGACTCTTGCAGCATTGGAGACCAAGCTGGAAACTGCAACAGTTCAAGGTCAACACACAAGAGCGAAACACCTCAAGTCAACCGCCCGTCTCGTCATACTTGGACACCTTTTATGTTTCAGAAGTCCATCTTCAGGATGATCATCGAAAGGCAAACACAGGCACGACCACGTGTGCACCCCACATCTATTTCCCTCGACCGAATGGGGTGTACACACAGTGGATGATGATAGTTGGGGGTGAGCAGGGCCAAAGTACTGGTCCTCGAACGCAGGAAAAATGCTTTCGGAATGGCTCAACAGCAATGGGTTTGGAAAGAACAGAACAGCAATGCTGCACTCCTGCAAAAGCAGCACTATGTAAGTGCGCGGTGCGAGCAGCTGAGACTTCCTTTGTGGTGCTTTTCAACTGAAAGTTTTGGCTGTGCAAAGCACGCGCTCTATAAGTCCGCATTATGAACCAAGAATAGATCGTGTGCCGATGTCTGAAACTCTACTCCGAGAGCCAAAGGGCCGCATCAAGTTACAACTGTCTCGGCACCCTGGATGATAAAGCACACCCGAACCTTGTACCAAAACACACACACACACACAGGCGACAGGCAAACACAAAGCACTGTTGATCGATGATATCATCGTTGGGTACGTGCCAGTGTTCCATGCCGTCCCTTTCCCTGTCGCTAGATGACAGTGAGGTTGCCACTGGCGCTGTTTGGATGGCGATGGCATCATTACACCCACGCTTTAAGGAAGGCCACTTCCACTTGACAACGATGCCAAACACCATGTGAGCAATTCTCAGCCCACCCTTTTTCCGTGAGCTGTCCATGCAACTTCTCTGGTTGGGCTTGCGGGCAACTCTGATTCGCCCGAAAACCCTGAGAGCTCCAGCATCACCACCACGCCAATCGATGTGGATTGATCGATGACCGAGCCACGTCAGCCAGTTGTCTGTCAACATCCGTCAACTGCAAACGCTGGAAAGATCTGGAAAAATCTGGAAACAGGAAAAATCCACTGGAAAAGCGAGCAACAAAGGCATATGGCATATCACTGGTTTGCTAATCATGTCCATAGCTGTCATGTGGTCATGGCATGTCATTGCTATGTCACTGCTGGTTGCTTCTACAAACGAAAGACTGGCTTCAAGCTCCGGTGGCCTGACTGCCTTGCAGCACAACAATCGGTGGCCACGTGCTCGAAGTCCTCAAGCATCCACGCCTCTAAAGGACCTTTGCAGAGCCGTTTGCAACCCACGCTGGCGCCTTAAGACGTTTTTCCTTTCAGAAGGGGCTCCACATCCTTCTCGTAAATGTCCATCAAGCCACGCAGACGGTGCAAACGAGTCATGTTCAAACGTGCCTCATGACTAAGCATGAAACGATGATGTCCCAAAACAGGGGGATTGCATTGCACCTTACTTACGCATGTGGAATCCTCCTGCTCCAGCATTTTCCTCCGCTGCTCGTCAAGGGCGCTCAGCGCGGCCAAGGGCGCTCAGCGCAGCGGCGCTGTTGATCTCAACAACCAAATTCTCCCACATGATTGGCAAGGGTGGCGACGATCTGTTTGCAAGGCACGATGCATCAATGATCACTGTTGTGATTTGTGTTTGTGGGCATTGAAGCTGAATCACCAGGCGTAATCAGTCTAGGCCAAAGCAGGGATGATGGACTTTCTGTAAGAACTTAGCGCTCAATCACATGCAATGATAACACATCCAGAACGTTTGAGATGCAAGAGATAATACGACACAATATGTCAGAAGAGTGCAGAAAATATATCCACACCCAAAGCAAGAACAAACTTAGCTAGCTAGTGCTAGCTTTCGACACACACACACACACACTGAGAAGTGAGTTGGGAGGGTGGAGCAATAGGATGATGGCAAAGCCCAGAACCTCCTAAGTATGTGTCCTTGAACACTTAAAAACAAAGCACAATTTGGCGACACCATCGATCAAGTCATAAGAAGCCGAAATCAAAAGGAGATCTTGTTCTAGGAAAAAGCGGGGCCCAGAATGGTGAGAAAAGTAGGGTGTTGTCATCTGCAAGTACACATTCAGGCGTCCCTGAATGCTTCCACCAGTCTTCCGTAGCTTCGTTGGGCAACGTGGGAAGGCTGGCAGTTGCCCCGCTGCGCACAAAATTCTCAATTCCGAAAGTTCAACATCCGCATGTTAGAGCGGTTCACACACACACACACACGCGCGCGCACGTTGTGTGTGAGAGAGAGAGAGAGTGAGTGAGTGGGAATGAGAATGGGAGCCAGAAGCGCCAAAGGTCGCGGGGAGAACCCTCCACCTTGAAATAGCGGAATAGTATCCATCTCCGCCCAACTGCCAAATTCCTTCCTTCAGCCATCCCCTAAAAACTGCTTGTAACGCCCTCCCAGGTATCCATCAATCATGGTCTGGTGACGCGTCGTCGCGACGCGTCGGGTGACGCCAAGGCACAGGTGCGGTCGCCACTGGGATCGGTGGCCTCCGGGAGGAAGGTCTCCCCCGGAGCACCTGGGCGGACGGCGACAGCTGGGACCGCCGGAACGACCCCTGGCTGGTCTCCTTTCTATCTCCTGACGGTTACCTAACTGGCGACAGCCAGTTTTGCTTGAAACAAGGAAGCTTTGGACATCATCTGAGGTGAACAAAGAATCATGCCAGGGTTTGTGCAGGGGCTCTTGAAGTGGATTAAAAAATTGAGACATCTACAGCGGGTCTATCCAGGTGTCTCCAACAAGGACTTTGTCCGCCTGCTCTGATCTTTGGCATGATCAGATTGCGGACATTCAAACATGGGCACGGATCAGAACGAATAGATCGACCTCTGTTGTCAACCAAGGCTCTTGTGGGTCTACTCGAGTAGGTTGGTTTCTTGACCAAAATGCTGACTTCAGGTAGAGGATGAGTCCCAAAAACAAAAGACTAGTAACAAGGGCATCGCTACTATAGTAACAAGGGCATCGCTACTAGTAGCAAGAACGCTACTAGTAGCTAGGGCATTAATTACTACTAGTAGCTGAACACAGAACACACTTGTTTTGGACCGGTGTTGCCTGCTTGGTGTTCTGGAACACCCTCCCGGCCGGAAGGTCGTCCAAAATGCATGGTGGCAGTTCAAAATGCAGCCACTGGTTCATTTCGAGCGGAAGAATTCATCGTGGTAGCGCCAGGACCGCGCACCCAGCAGTGTACCCGTTGTCTACAGTGTACCCTTTAGACCAGCAGTGTACCCTTGTAAGGACACGTCTGACCTATTGAATCTGCAACTGTTCACTCCTTCAGTCGTTGCCTCCTTTTGATGAGGATAGTTCGATTGGGACCATGGCTTCAGGAGGTATCGTGATGTTTAACACCGGACAGGGGTTGAAGTTGGCCTGCAGCTTGTGCGGTTTGTGGAGGATTTCCAGCTTGTGTTGTCTACGAAGGTCTCTGGTTCACTGGGGCCTGGCACCTGCAGCTCCATTCTCCGGTGCTGATTGTAGCGAGCCCCTAGTAGCGTCCTGGCTCCTAGTAGCGATGCCAGGAGCCCCTAGTAGCGATTCCCTTTTGTTATAGCAAATTTCAGGTTTCTGAGACAAGGCTTGCTTTCTCTACTTAGCGATCACCGGAACGAAGAACTCTGTCCGTGTTCCACTCCACGATGCTTCCCAACTGTCCAGCTTGCAACTTGAATCGATTTAATGAGACATCTGACAACATCCTTGGTCTTCGCTGGCCTCAACTTTTCTTGCTCCGGAACAGTGTCGTTGTTGCTGCGTGGAAGTTTTTTACTCCAAACATCAGGGATCAAGAAACGAATAGTGAATAGCTAGCTGGAAGGCCCTAGCGACCTCAAATAAGATCGTCAAAGAAGGCATGCCATGAACCGGCTTACAAAAGCCATCTAAACTGAAACGAGGCACCCATGATCACCAAACCCAAACCTTTGTCCCTTTCTTCGTGACAGGTGGGATACAACAAAAGAGACATGCTTCGAAGTTGAGACGTGGAAGGCCGAAAATACCCAGGCCTGACACAAATCCCCGAAGCTCCGCAGCGGGGGCTGTCCAAAAGGCAGGCCTTTCAAACGATGGGTAGGGGACTTCTGAAGCGGGACAACGCTGGAGAACTGGAGCAACGTCGGACATCCAAGGTTCTGTGTACTCAGCTAGTTGTTTGTTACAAAGGCACTTTCACCTCAACAATCTAATATACTTACCCTCTCAGTTTGCTGCAACAATCCAGGTTAGTTAAAATTCATCATGCCCATCCGATAAAACAAGTTGAAGCTTAACCACTGACTGGGCAGGTAAACATGTTCACCAAACACACCTGCTCACCGAGTCAAGGTGTTTCGTCTTCAATGTATTCACATGCCCCGACCTGTGGTTGTTTCGTCAGATTGGTGAGGGAAGTCAGTCACTTCGGCAAGGGAGATTTCTGTCCTTCTTTGAAGGACATACTATCTGTGAACAAACCTCCAAGTGAAGATAGGAAGCACCGTGGATCGATTTATGTAACTGTACTGCAAATTCATCTTGTTCGACAAGTAAATACGAGAACTGCACAAAAGAAATCGCACCCGACACTTCAAACGCCGGATATCGAGTACCTTGTCCTTCACAAACGGTCCATTAAGCTTCCCTCAAAACGTTTACGTCCGCCGGCCCAAGGGCACTGCTCCAGATTAAAGAAGCGTCGAAAGCGACAGGAAAAATCGTCGATGGCCGTGGTCAGTGAACCAAAGCAAAGTGCTCTGGTACCAAACATACAGACCACTCGCTGGCCGCCTCTGGCCCCTCGGACATGCGGCCTCTGGTCGGCTTCACATGACTCCACAGAGTCTCCCCGCCGAGGTCAAACTTGTCCGAATTTTGGTCGGGAGGTTTCTGAATCCTCTTCCCGATCGGAGCCGACATCGAGCCCAGCTGGATGGTGAAATGGCACAGACCAATCCATCCGAATCAGTAAATCCTGTGGCACAAAGGTCCACACACCAAAATATGTGGTTGTCTTGCTATAGGTGAAAGTGGACGGATGTGGAGGTCGCAGTCCCTCAAATCTTTGGTTAACATCTAAGGTAGAAGGATTCTGTGAAAGGCACTCTGACTTCAGCTTCCTTCGGGAAAAGGGACGAACAACCTCGTCCCAGCTCTTCATTCTGAAGGAAGCCAATCTGCACAAAATATAGGTCAAACATCAACCGCGGACTGAGTATCCACTGCCCGTCAAGCTTTATCGATCACAGTGACTAATCTCCTCTCACCTCAAACATGCACTCCGAGAACCACACACTTCTCGGGGTCTTCCAACGCCCAGGTTCCGCATCTTTTCAGTGTTCGACCAATGCCTGTGGAGAACAAGGGACTCAGAATCTAAAATAGACAAGTCCAAGAAAAAGGCGACCTAGGTCAAGAGCAATGTCAACTACCACAGCAGCCAATGGATCCGAAAGGGACAGCAAGGCACTTATCGACAAAGAATCCAGGTCACCAACACATCGAAAAGGATATTGACAAAACGGAAGGAGGACCGCAACCTGCACGGCGAAGCAACAGAATCAGCACTGAAGAATTGCAGGCCTTGTGCCTTATGGGCCCCTCGTGGCCTGTGCATCGATAGCCGAAACGGCAACGTTCAATCTGTCAAAAGAGGTTCCCTAGACAACCAACATGCCTGGAATCCTCACTTCAAGAACACCTCACCATATAAATCGCTAAATGTTGTTTTTATATAGCTTGATGATCTGTTGAACCAAGTTATATAAAACATTTCCATACATGATCGATAACTGAAAAATGTAAGAAGTGCCAACGAACCTGGCCGCCCCACCCCCAACCAAACATATTTTGGTCAACACGATCATACGAGCATACATGTTTGAATTCCACGGATCCGCTATGGCGGTGTGAGCAATATTATATATTCACCCCCAACCTGACGTAAAAACCCACGAACAAGCTTTGAATTCATCTATGTCGGATGTTTTAATTCAGTCTCGTGAAGACCTCATTAATCTATTCAGCTCAGGTTGCCCGAGGCCCCCGGTCTATATGTTTTCTGTCGCTTTCTGTAATACCATTCGAGTTTCCCTGGTGCCCCAGCAGGTCCGGTTGTTGGTCAATAAGATCTCCAGTGTGTCAGGAGTAAGCTGACACCGAACTCTGACCCCTAACTTCATCCACTTTCGCTTCTGCCAAATTCAGAACGGCTGCATTCGACAAAACGACTGTCACGATGCATAGTGGAACATGGTCACATCTTTGAAGTTTGACAAGTGGAATAGCCTGACCTTCAATCTGTTTCCTTGCGGAAATTGACTGAACAGGCCACCTCGACTCATCATTTTCCACAAAGGTTATACAGGCACGCCGAATGAACAAGGGCCCCCCAACAAGGCATATTCAAGTTGATCGAACAATTCGCTAGACATGCTGTTTCTGAGGCACATTCCCCACCCGCAAACACGCTGTCCCCTGGGTATGCCACAAGTCCTGTACAGTCTACAGTCTGTCGGCTAAGACCAAGGTGGAGGGTATGAACATGAGCAAGAACTTATAAGAAAACACTAATGGCTCTTTTTTGCCACGTGAACTCCCGAAGTAGAGATTCCACACGTTTCAATAAAAAATCAATTTTACAAAAGATGAATGCATACAAATAAGGCAAATGTCTTTTGATCCAACGTGTAACTTTACCGTTTGCTGAATGGATATGCCGAATGCACATTTAAACTAAAAAGTTTTAAGTCCCATGTCCGGGCTTGGCCCAGGGCCATGAGACACTTTGCGGATCTGGCCTGACCCCTCTCCGCAGGGTTTGCCTGAAGGAATCAACGGTGAGGAGATAGCTTAACCGCCAGAGTCTTGTGCAGCGCAGGGCACTGCCATCAAAAAGGCCGAGCATGTTGATCAGTGAAAATGTCTGCTGTTGATGGAACAACTCCGACACCAGCTTTCCAACATTGTGGGTGCTTACGAATCATTGCTTTAATGTCATTTTAATGTCTGGTTCCCGCACGAATCCAGTCCTTCCTGGTGGGAGAACTTAATTATCCATCAACAGCACGAGGCACCTGAGAAAAAAAACCCAAAGAAGAGGTCGGTGCCTTGTATTAAGAGAGGAGGTCGGACAGCAGAACCGATTGGCATTTATCCACTTCACATGGATGAATGGCCACTCCAAGGGTTGATCTGCTGCAGCATTCAGAACAACCTACTGAATCTTTCACAAAGCCAATGAAACGGTGCCTTTTGCATCACAAAACATGAAGCTAGCCATGGTACTGAGCCATGGGTGTACCCGGCTTCTCCCTCGCACTGCCCTCTTGATGTATCCTTTTCACATGCAAACAGGGCGGTGGGACAGATTCAGTTTGTGCAACTGGCCGAGAACCTGGACCACCTTTAAGCTCCTTTGAGCAGAGGGTTCCCTGGGATGAAACAAATCCTTACAAATCTATAAAGTCTATCTGGTCAGTTCTCAGATCTGCTCGAGGGATCATGAGAAATCCCTTTCCATCCTGCCTTCAT